TTGTGAATAAAGAATTTTGAAAATTTTATCTTGTTCTGATAATCCCATCTTTCTTCTTTGTTTAAGAGTATGTACAAGTGACTCTTTAAACATGATATACTCTTTATTTTAAAGAGTCAACCTTTAAAATCATGCTCCAGAAGACTCTTTAAATTAACATTTTAATTTAGAGAGAATTTGGAGAGTCAAACGCACTCTCTATAATTAAATGCATTCAAAATATTTCAATGTCAATGTAGAAAAATAATAAAATAATCTAAAGAAAAATAATAAATATTTTTTGAAAGTAATAAAATTAAGTATTAAATATAAAAAGCTTATTGGAATGCTTCAAAATTTTAACTCTAAATTTATAGATACTTTCCAAATAATAGAGTATCCTCTTTAAAATAGAGAGTTTCTGGGAGATGTTCTAATAATTACTAATTCAATTACATTTGCTATCTAAACCTAATATTAGAACTATGCTAACTCGCATCTCTATACACGCTAGTAGAACACACGACAGACAATTTAATAAACAAGATTTTAACTTCTTTTTGGTTGGCGCAAAAATGTCATTCGGATGATGGAGCACCGACGGTTGTGATCGATAGGGCGATGAAATTGTGACTTGCTTTAATGGTTGTGATATTAAATGAATTGCATTTATATCTATTTACTACCTTCAAATGTAGACATTTTTATATATTTATGAGTTGTTGGGTTTGAGGTATGGAAACGTAACAGATGAATGTAATTGTAATGGCAGATAAGACAGCATTTAATTTACACACTGAAATCTGATGACATGTTTAGAGCAAGAAAGATTCCTTTCTAGCTTCAAATTCAAATGAGTCTACCAATTAATAAGGTCTAATTGATTTTATGAATTATATTTTGATGATAGAATTACAATATGGAAATAGGAAATAACGTATAAAAACTAAAAAGAGAAAATTAATCATCCCACAATTTGATATGATTTTCTTAATTAAGTTGGTACATCAAGTTCCGAATTCGCTTACCTATTTAATGAGCTTTCATAAGGATGTTTTAGAACTCATTTAACAAGCTTTTGAAAAGTCAAAAGTTAATTCTGACACTAAAAAAATCAGTGTTCCGAAATGCGTACAGCATACACTTGCATATGCTCAACGTTTTTTTTCGAAAACTATGCATACGGGACATGCGCGTGTAATGCAATCAACCCAATTCGTTGACCGCATATTCACGCTTAAACGCCAAACTACCCCGCATTTGCATTAAAAATTTTGTCAAAATTAGTCTAGTGAAACCCATTCCATTTTTATAACTTAAAAAAGTAAATTGAGCCCAACGAACATCAAATTAAACCAAATCACCCAAGCCATGAATTATATACTGCAATATGTAGAGTTTTGACGATTAAAAAATAATAATCAAAAACCATAACAAAAATTTCCGTAGAGTTGCAAACTATCTAAGCCGAGCCCCAGTCTCCTTCAATATTTCTCTAATTTTATTAGTAAGTGATGCTAGTATTGAACAATTTTTGATTGTTGATGGTTGTGATGATGATGAGGAGGAGGAGGAGGTTGATAATGATATATATTCTACCATCTACAAAGGTAATAAAAATTCTCAAATTGAAATACGGGAGTCCAATTAAGATGATTTTAAATTGAATGACACGGAAGATGATTTAGATGAAGAGTAGTTTGAACTGAAATCCGCTAAAGAGTTAGAAAATATTTAGAATTTTTTAAGTCGATATTCATGTCTAATCTAATTGTAAGAATTGATTACCAAGTAATTGTTGTATTTATGATATTATGCATTATGTTTTTGTTACAGATTTGAAGATTGTGTATGAAATTCAAGTAATTGTAGAATTTATCATTTTGAACAACACACACACACACTTACTTTAAATGAAGAATATGTATAAAGTTTAAGAATGCATTATTTAATTTATTTATTAGTTTAGAATATTTAACCCCCATTTGGCCCCCATTATTCCCATTTAAATTATAATTCATTTTTCTCTATTCTTTTCAACCACATATACTTAAATAAAATAATATTACATGCAAATCCAAAAACTCAACACATTCTCCCAAAAATGACTCTCTCTCATTATGATGTAAAATAATGGGGGCAAACAAGCTCTTAAAATAATATTAAAAATTGGAAAATGCATAGTTACGTATATGCTTCATATATACAAACGTATTCTTGTAATGCTTGATACCTGATTGAAATGCATTACCACACATTATGCATTTTAGAATATTGAAAAAAAATTCTTTTAAACTTGATTAAATAATATTTTGAAATTATTTTGTCTGACTAGAAGAAGAGGAATGTGGTATAAGGTAACTTCATAAAGAATCTCTTCTACAAAAAGCATAAACAAAAATAAAAACCATCTCAAACAAACCCTTAATACATCAAAATTGGAGTTTTAACTTCTAACTAATAAAAATTTACTTATTAAACTACAGCTAAACTTATGATCTAAGAAAGAAACCGGAACAAATACAACCTTCTTACATGCCTCTAGGTATTCTGTTAGTATTTATATCGGATGGCTTCATTGGTGACTTGACTGTAACGATAAATTTATTAAAAGCAGCCCAAATCCCACAATAAAATTTTGATGCTTCACAAGTCACAACAATTCAACTATAACTTCATCAGTAGCCATTCAGAGACCGGTGACAAGTTCACCTTTTACTAGAATGTCATGTTTGGTATGTTAAACAAGATTAACGATGTTAAAAATTAATCAAACAAATTGTTTCAGAACTACGGTTTACACCAAACAAATCCTTATATCTTTAGAATCAGCATTAATTAAAAGCACATCCACTGGTTCAATGGCAAAATCTACTACATCATTTCAAGTGACAGAGAAAGAGTAGGCTGAAAGGTTGATCTTCAAGACTTCAACAGTTCACATAGCTCAAATAATCCCACAATTTGATATGATTTTCTTAATTAAGTTGGCTTCATGTTCCCAATTCGCTTACCTATTCAAAAGCTAATCGGACACTAAAAAATCAATGTTCTAAAACGCACGTATATGCTTCGCATATACTTGCATATGCTCGATGTTTTTTTCGAAAGCTATGCATATAGGACGTGCGCGTGTAATACGATGAACCCATTTCGTTGACCGCATATGCATGCTTAAACGCCAAACTGCCAACGCATTTGTATTAAAATTTTTGTCAAAATTAGTCAAGTGAAGCTTATTCCATTTTTATAACTTAAAAAAGCAAATTAAGCCTAACGAACATCAAATTAACTCAAATCACCCAAACCCATGAATTATATACTGCAATCCGTATAGTTTTGACTATTTAACAAAAAAAACAAAAACCATAACAAAATTTCCGCAGAGTCACAAACTATTTACGTCGAGCCAGAGTCTCCATCTTCAATATTTCTCTAATTTTACTAGCAAGTGATGCTAGTATTGAACAATTTTGGATTGCTGGTGGTTGTGATGTCAAGGAGGATGATGTTGATAATTATATCCTATTATCTACAAAAGGTAATATAAATTCTCAAATTAAAATACGGGAGTCCAATGAAGATGATTTTATATCAGATGACACAGAAGATGACTTAGATGAAGAGGAGTTTGGATTGAAATCCGATAAAGAGTTATAAAATATTTTAAAAAAATTAAGTCGATGTTTATGTCTAATCTAATTGTAAAAATTGTATTAATGATATTGTGCATTATGTTTTTGTTAAAAAATTGAAGATTGTGTATAAAATTCAAGTAATTGTAGAATTTATCATTTTGAGTGATGTATATATTTTTTTTCATAAAAATGAAGAATATGTATAAAATTTAAGAATGCATTATTTATTGTATTTATTAGTTTACAATATTTAACCCCCGTTTGGCTCCCATTATTCCTCATTAAATTATAATTCATTTTCTCCCTCTTCTTATCAGCCACATATTCTGAAATTAAATAATATTACACATAAATTCAAAAAATCACACATTCTCCAAAAATTTACCATTTCTCATTATAATGTGAAATAATGAGGGCAAACATGCTCTTAAAATAATATTAAAAATTGAAAAATGTATAGTTATGTATATGCTTCGTATAGGCACACGTATTCTTGTAATACTTGATACTCGATTGAATTGCATTGCCACGCATCACGCATTTTAGAATATTGAAAAAAATTACTTTTAAACTTAATTAAATAATTTTTTGAAATTATTTTATCTGACTAAAAGAAGAGGAATGTGGTATAAGGTAGCTCCATAAGGAATCTCTTTTACAATAAGCAGAAACAAAAATAAAAAAAACATGTCATACAAACCCATAATACATCAAAATTGGAGTTTTACCTTCTAACTGATAAAAAATTATTTATTCTAAATTTTACTTATTAAACTACAGCTAAACTTATAAGTTATGATCTAAGAAAGAAACCGGAACAAATACAACCTTCTTACATGCCTTTAGGTATTCTGTTAGTATTTATATTCGGATGGGTTCATTGGTGACTTGACTATAACGGTAAATTTATTCCCAAATCCCACAAAAAAATTTGATGCTTCGCAAGTCACAACAATTCGACTATAACTTCATCAGTACTCATTCAGAGACTGGTGACAAGTTCACCTTTTACTAGAATGTTATGTTTGGTATGTTAAACAAGATTAACGATGTTAAAAATTAATCAAGTGTTCTCTACAAAACACATTGTTTCAGAACTACGGTGTACGCCAAACAAATCCTTATATCTTTAGAATCAGCATTAATTAAAAGCACATCCACTGGTTCAATGGCAAAATCTACTACATCATTTCAAGTGACAGAAAAAGAGTAGGCTCAAAGGTTGATGAAGTTGTCAAGTGTATCGAGTTTAATAATTACTACTATACAAATAGGGCATCTTCTATACAAAGATTTCGACGAGTATACATATTATTGGTTGATTACAAACAAAAGAATCATGCAAATTAACCAGAAGAACAGCTCAGAAATAATTCTTAGGATTTAAGGGAAAACCTTCTCAAGGAAGCTAATGAAACGTTTTGAATAAACCTTGGGTTCTACGGCAGATATTGACAATGGATCAAACTGCAAAGATTTATATTTATGCTCGGTTTTCTTTTTCAGGTTGTATTCTTGCAATATATCTATTACACCAAGGTAGAGAACAATGTCATAAACTTCAAAAAGTTCAACTTCAGTTGAGTCTGTATTGTCCTGTACAATCCTGTGATTTGCTTGAGCCGGCATATGTACGCCTAATTGCACCCTTAACCTGAGGAGTGGCAAGCAAGTTTGAGTACAAATTAACCACTTATTTATTAAACACAAGTTATGGGTAAAAGAAACATCTAATAAGCACCAAGTTGGCATATCAATTAATGTATGTGAACCAGTTCGATAAAATTAGGAATAAAAACACTAGAAAAGTAGGTAAAATGAGGGGAAGTTACCTTCCAGTACCAGGCAAAAGAAGATCAGCTTCCTTGTTACCAATCGAGACTGCCTTCAAAGTGTTTCCTCGAATGTGTGGACCAGGTAGAGTGCTGACCGAGCTAGGTTCATGGGTTACTAAAACCAAACCACTCGGAGGAATCAAGAGCTCCCCTGAAGAGATCACACCTTGAAGAAGCAAGCACGTGTCAAACAAAGGACGCTTCCAAGGGAAAAAATGATAATTGAAGTAATTACAAAAAACTAAAGCAAATAATGCAAATTAACATCATACAGACACATGCTAAAAAAATTCAACATTAAACACACTGTCTAGGTGCTAACAATCACATGAGGGAAGCAATGCCTTGCAGATATATCCTCGTCAAATAAATCACATCTTTGTCCAAAAACTAAATCAGGACACTGGGGACAAGAAAGTTCATATTTCACCCAGGCCCAAGCATATATCCCAGATTCCCTCTATGAATAATAGAAGATGTATTTTATCCAAGTAGATTTACACTTACAGAAGCCCAAAAAGAAGGGAAAAACACCTCGGGGGAGGTGGAGGGGATATCAGGTGAATAAACAAACAGATGTCTCATTCAACAAGCTAAAGATACAGAAGTAACTTAATAGTTATAAAAGATTTTAAACAATAGTCAGAAATATTTTAGACAGCTTTGAATCAGCAGAATAATATGTTCAATAAAGAACTTAATAAAAAATGATTGGAAAGAGATGGTGCCTAGACAATGAAATGTGAGAACAGAGAATAATATTGGAATAATAGAATATCCCATGATCAAGTTATACATGAATTGCCATCAGAATGAATTGAAATAAATAGATACCCAAAATAAATGCTTAAGATCCCAAGTTTTTCATGTTAAGAAGAGATGCCCACCATCAACATTGGTAACTGAACTCTCAGGTGTATGCAGTGAATCAGAAGGCTCTAACAGAGATTTTAGATGTTCAGGAGCTCTGAAATGCAACCCCAATAGAAGACTGTAGTCCATGATCCCCTGAGATTCTAGAAATAAAGAGTCTAGAGATAGTTGTCTGTAAACAAGACAAGAGAATGTTATAATTAGAAGGCAAACGAACAATTAACATGGTCAGAAAGCAAAAGAGAATGTTAATAACACTTAAGCAGAGGCTGCAAATATGAGCTATCCATAAGTTTACAAAAAATATAATTTTCGAGGCCCATTCCAGCTGAGGTCCTTGGTACACTCCCTCTTCCCCCAAGCCTATTATATAATTTCAAGGATGGCCAGTGATAAGTGTAGTTTCTACACTTAGTTAGACCGTCAAAAGTGGCTATTTGGGAGTACTTTTAGAGAATTATTGCTTAATCTCATGTAAATATTGTCTATTTAGGTTAAACTCAATGTTGGATTTGGAGAAAATGAATGAAAATCGAGCAAAGAGGATTTTTTTGGGCATTATTCACAGAATGGGGACAAAGGTGATACAATTTAGAAGATGAAGAGCTTTAATTGAAATTATAAGGGACTTAATTGAGAAGCAGCTTAGCGTTCAACCGTTACCTCTGACTCGACCTTTTCACCATCCACCGTCTCTGCGGTTAATTACATGTGTACGGCATTTGTTGACAAAAATGTAAGGCTTATTGAGAGAAGCAGAAAGTATAATGGTTGTACCATGCGATCACAGCTAGCCATCTCTACCATGCGATCGCATGGTACAAATACAAAGGTCTTTTTATTTTTCCCTTCTCAATTTCATCTATCTTTTGGGAAGCAATTTGACAAGTTAAAATTGGAAAATTCGACATTCCTCATAACGTAGAGATTCAAGAGAAGAAGGCTAGGAAAAGTATCGGGCATAAAATATCTAGAGATTGAAGATTTAAAGCTGAAATTGGAGAACAAAAGCAAGAGAGAATCCGGAATCAATTGAAGACTCATTTGAAGGAATTCAAAGGAGTCGAATTTGATTCTGTTTCATCTTCATGCGATTATATTTTTCGGGTAATGAATATTCAATTTTTTTGTTGTAATTGCATTATGAGCATGCTAGGCTAAACTTGTCAAGTGTTGGATGATGGCGTAAAGCCTTGATGTACCGTTTTAATTCAAATATTATTTTTTTTGGTATGATTTTTGTGGATTGATTGATATCATATGCTTATGGTTTATTTAAATGCTTGATCACCATTTAAATAATAAGTGGCTTATTTTGTTTACGGGAGGTTCGAAATAGTTTAGCACATTATGATAATCAACATAAGGTTCAAGAAACGTTAAAAAGTATTGTTTATGATTGATGCAGTCTTAATTAGGTAATCTTGTATATTGATATTGTATCACAATAAACCAACAAATCAACTCTTTTGGTTGATAGATATCTATTATTCAGAGTTTATTCTCAGCCAAGCTACAGAATTCTATAATTGTTTGTATTAGTCATATTAGAAAACAACTTATCAAATGCATGACCACCTACTGAAAAAACTAGATTTGCTAGTACCATGTGCATGGAACTACCGAACAATTTAAAATCAATTTTTTCACTTTAGTTGCTGCAACTGAATTAACAGACTGGTCATTCATTACCAGAATGGGTGAAGAAACTGAAGAGTCTAGAATGAGGAAATTGACAACGAAAGAGAACTTACCTCATAAGTGACTCACGCAATAATCTGTCCATATGAAACTCATATGTCAAGTCAAGATCTTTCAGTGTGGTGCTCTCATCAATCTCGTCTTTCTTTGTATATCTCCCTTGAGATGAACCCTTCAAATCATAACGATGATGAATGCGTAATTCTGTGCAAAATATATTTCCCATGACTACAAAGCGGACCTGTAAATAAAGTCGAATCACATAATCTAATCCTAAATAAAAGTATTTTTCCTTATAAATCAAAGTATCACTAAACAAAGAGGATAAAACTAGCATACATCCTAAAGGAAAGTAATAGTTGTAAGCAGAACGAAACTTGGATTCATGACCGAGGAACAACCTTTTTCCCATGTTTTAGTGCTATCCTGTGCACCCCAAAGAATTTAGTTATAAGAGTATTCTCGTGCTCCCGTACGTGTTCATAGTAGTGTGGGAGCATCTTGATTAGAGCCTACACAACATTAAGAATAAATCATTTCACAGGAATGTGCCAAGCAATAGAAGAGTAATTAATAACATTTCCAAGTCAATTTGAAATAAATAAGACAAGTGCACATCCTAAATAGCAACCCAATGTAATGCATATCATATATAGACAAAAAAATGCAAGGTGTTGCCATAAAAAAAAAAAATCTCATGCAGTCTTCAAGGCAACTATTTATCCCCATAACCCCGTTCAAACTGCAATGCAATTCCTCGACCGACTGCTCAGCACTAAGAAAGAGGGGAAGGTGGTGGAACCCTCCGGTGCTTAAGTTAGAATGTATTTATTGTTTGACAGAAAGCAAATGGACAGAGTTTTATTAAGTTTTCATATTTTCCCTACCTGTGAATCATGCTCAGCTTAATACCTTTAGAAGATGAGAGAATGGGGATGGGTGAGGGAGGCCATGTGACGCAGGAGCGTATAACTTACTTGTTAAAGAACAAACAAAGATTAAGTAAGGAAAGAGGGTCCAAGAAGAGAAGAACGGAAGGTAAAGGAAATCAATTTTTACTCATATAATCAGGTTGTGAGTTACAATAATTAAGCCCCTCTATTTATAGAGCAAATATATTAAGAAGCTAAAAGGAAACAAATTTCTAATAAACTATGATGGTATCAAAACATCAAAACTAATCTTATCTAATCTAATTAAATATATTTTAAATCAAACTCTATTTTAGAATCCTATTAATATTATATATCTCTCTTTATCTCTATCTGTTAGGGATTTTGGGGCTCCAAAAACCTCTTTCTGCCCTCTTTGGTGGCTCTTTATTAGTACCCACAATGGACACTAAATGGTGACTACAATGGAGAAGAAACTAGGTGCACAACAATGGTGGAAACTCTCCCTTTCCCCCAAACCCGGCTGCCCCCTTTCCCGTTTCTCTCCCTCTCTTGTAGCACACCCACAGGTGGTTGTTTGCAAGCAATCACATGGATAAGGAGAAGAGGATAACAAGGTTGAATCTCCCCAAGAAATCTACCACACATGGTAGCCTCTCATCTCTCCTCTCGGCTGCCCTTCCCTCTCTTCTCTCGTTCTTTTCTCTTGCACACACACAACACCACCACCACACACCACACCTCTAGACACGGTTGGAAAGGGGGGGAATAAATGGGGCATTAGTTTAGGTTCCTCTATTGGGCCAAGGGATACCAATAAATGGGCCAACTACAAACTAAGGTACATGGGCTCCCACGAACCTAANATATCAAAGCCACAACAATGTACCAACATTAATCCACATCCAACTAGGGTCATCCGAGAAATATAGGTCGTGTCCGAGTCGAGCCAAGTCTATGGTGACGATAAATAATCCGACAACTGTTTTTCATCATCGCCCGGATTTATTGGGGATCAAAAAACCTAACACTATCTTGATCTCCATCACCATGCCTCTGAAGGGGCAGCAGTTGCCATAATACCTGAATGCATGTGAAGCCCGTCACATCCCGTAGGAGATAAGGCTGCTACATCAGCCTAATTTCCGAAATAACCATACGTAGGAGATAAGGCTTAAGAGGAGTTCAGCCTAATGACTGTTGTCCGTCTGAAGCCAAGGAATTACATGTAGACTGAGGAAGCTTCTGTGGGAATTATAGCTGGGCTAAGTTGTAGGCTTATGAACTTGAGTGGTTGTAGTGTACGTCAATTACTGCTAGATCATCTCGAGTGGATCCCCTCTTGTGCCACGTACGTGAAAGACAGATGGTATTATTACACAAGACATTCAGAGAACACAAATATAAGTGTACATAAAATCCAACATTACCGCTTTAATTCACTAAACTTAGTTGACTGACTGAATGCATTTCACTCATATTTCACTACTCAGAAACGCCCTATTCTTAAGCCAATGGCATGCCATCACTTCCATAAAAATATTTTAAGCTCAGAATTCATTGTTGAGTAGGTAGGGGTCCTGCAATGTCATGTAATCCAAGTAGCCTTTCTCCATTTCGTTAAATTCACCTTAATCTTATGCATTACACCAACGTGAGTCCTCATTTCCTATTGTAACTATACCAGAAACCTAAAATCTCAGTTACAACATAATTCCTAATTTAATTTCAATATCATCATTATTCATATTATGACTGAAAGGACATAATATCTATTCCCTATTAATTCCACTTAACAATTTATCCATAAAGAAAATAGTTTAGAGAACTCATTTTAGAAATGTTTGTCACGTAAATTCATCCATTACTAGAGAAAAATACTAAGGATAAATTACTAGATATGATAATCATAAGATATTATAGTAAATGCATAGGATAGACAAACCTTCAGCTCAAACTTTTTCAATGTCTTAATCACAAATTTATCATCGTGGGAAAGATAGAAAAGGCTTCCACTTTTCCCTGGAGAAGATAGCTCTCTCAGTCCATCGTCGCCACAGATGGACATCATATAGTCCGCAGCATTCAACTTGAACATCTCTCTCAAATTCCTGAAAGTGAGATCCAACACACTCGTTCCCGTCATTAAAATATATAATCATGTAAAAACATTATACAACGAATTATAAAGGAATTTCACAGGTTATCGTGCAGGTGCTTTGTAAAATACAACTCAGATAAATCCAAAGAATACTTGGAATAATCAAAAAAATGAGGAAATTTATGTTCATGGGAGTGATGGGACAGAGAGAAGACTGGTGGAAAATGAGAACAAGTCCACTTTTTATTCTATTCGTCCTCCATGTCCTTTTATTACTATGAATCTATGATTATTTCTTAGTTTACATTTTGCGAGGGAGTGACTGAATGTGGAGATGCAGTGTAAGCATCATTAAACACTGCCCATTGTTTTATAGATGATTAGACGAAACTGCAAGCTGAAGGAATGGAAAGAAATGCGTAGAAAATTAGAATTCCCTTCATTGTTAATTGCAAGTGCAAATTTTATGAATTCATGTCAATTATCTCAACCTAAAACAAAAACTTAGTCAGGCTACAGAAATTAAGGGATGAATGAGTAGATGTTGGCCGCTCCATAGGTTTCATACAGGGGCGGACCTGGGGGTGGGGGGGGGGG